TAGACTGTTATAGTTACAACTAGGACTACTTCTAATATGACAGTCTCACTATCACATCAATCTAGACTGTTATAGTTACAACTAGGACTACTTCTGTGACAGTTATCGTCCGTAACATCCGCATCCGCAAACTGCTCTGCTTCTCTTATACTTTGTTCTATGTCCTTCTTGCTCATTCGTCCTTTCTCATTTGTAATCGTGATGTGGCACTTTTTCCCACTAGCCTTGTCTACCGCTGACACGTTCAAAATGCCATTTGGGTCCAAGTCGAACGTTACTGCTATTTGCGGAATTCCTCTAGGTGCCGGAGCAATGCCGTCTAAGCGAAATTTGCCCATTAAATTGCAGTCCTTAGCCATGGCACGTTCACCCTCATACACCACAATGTCGACAGACGTTTGATTATTCGCATAGGTTGAAAAAATTTGCTCTTTCTTCGTGGGAATGGTGCTATTCCTACCAATCAACTTCGTCATGATACCACCAGCAGTCTCTAAACCCAATGAGAGTGGGGTGACATCGACAAGAACCAAGTCGTTTAGCTTTTCGGAAGTGTCGCCAGCACCACTCAATATCGCAGCTTGGATTGCGGCGCCGTATGCGACTGCTTCATCTGGATTGATACTCTTATTAGGCTCCTTTCCACCAAAATAATCCGAAATCGATTTCTGAACTCCTGGAATCCATGTTTAGAAGAACTACCGCGCCACATCTTCCTCCTTGACAGGCATATGATCCTTGCATAAGGCTTCTCCTTCTTCGTTCCTTTGAATGGAATGAGGCATGTGTCCTTCTAGACTACTAGGTTACTTCTTTGTGGGCCCCTTAAAAAAAAGGGATGTCTAAGAGATCTAGATCATGATGTCTAACAAGTAGAGGATGCAGCTTTCTCGGTCGTAGTTGCCTTAACGTGTACTTCCGCCTATCAAAACGATCTCATCTACTGCTTTCCTATCCACGCCAGCATCCTTCAGGACCCTTTCTACACAAGCCAGCGACTTTTTCACGTATTTCCCGATCACTTCGTTCTCAAACCTTTTTCTGTTCACCTGGAAAGAATAATCTGTGCCGTCAAAGAGTCCATCGACTTCAATAGTAGCCGACTGCGCTCCGCTCAGTGTCTTTTTGGCATTCTCACACTGTTGCCAAAGACGTCGTTTGGTGCGTGGATTTCGGCCTAGCTCTTCAGCATTCAAGGGATACTTCTTGCGGATGTCCTGTAGATAGAGTCAAATAAGTGATGTGGGTTTCTCTTGCGGATGTCCTGTAGATAGAGTCAAAGTAGTGATGTGGGTT